TGGGGTTTGGATCCATGAACATTTAGCCCCATTGTCTCTGAGGCCCATGGGAAGACAGTATATCATGGGCATGAATATGAGGTAATAGGTCCCATCATTCTTTGCAAGGGTGAACATCCAATGACCTAAAAACCTGCCAATAGTCCCCACTTCCTAAAGCTTCCACGACCTCTCAGTAGCACTTTTTTGCATCCTTTTCTGGATACCTGGAGACTGAGCAAGCCATTAACACATGGGCCCTTCAGGATCATTTGAGATTCAAACTGTAGCAATGTTGAACATCTGATTTCTTTCTAAGATTCTAAAATTCTAGTAACTTCACACACTCACACAAGCACAAGGTGCTTATGCGTACATGACCAGCCCTTGATCTAAAAAAAAAAATCCCTAGATTCTCAGCCTTCGATGAGCTTTTCTGGTGAACACCATTTCATACATTCCAACTCCTTACTAGCAGAATTAAATACGTTCTGTGCAACTCCAGTTGGAGAGGATTCTGAGAAAACTGTACCTGATTTTCTCCAGACTGCATCTGGAGTATCTTTCCCTTTTGCCAGTTTCACTCTGTAGTCTTTTGTTGAAAGAAATGATAGCCAAGAGTACAACTATATGTTGAGTTTTGTGAGCCCTCCTAGTAGGTCAGCAAATCTGGGAGCTAGTCTCGGGAATACGTGACATACTCTATCTGTGAATGAGTTAAAAACTGGGATATTCATGAGCATATTTGTCTATGGATGGTGCTTCATTTACTCACAGTGCCAGAGAGGATATTATTTTTTTATTTTTTTTGGTTTTTTATTTTTTTTGGTTTTTCTCCGGTACCGGGAACCGAACTCACGACCTTGCGCTTGCCAGGCAGGCGCTTTTGCCGCTGAGCTAAATCCCCAGCCCCAAGGATATTACTGATACCCAATAAGACAGTGACATGTAAATTGGAGGTATACTACAAAGTATTGCCACCAAAATAACCTTGCCTAATATGTAATAAAAATTAAAATATTAATGAACTAAGTGAACTACTCAGTGAACAGCAAAATCTATGTTTTTCAACAACAAAAATACCTGAGCTTGTTAGCAATACAAAAACACAAATTGAATATGACAAAAAGTGTTAAAAATGTTTTGATAAAACTAGTATGGCAGAGTAAAAAGCACAATTACTGAAAGAAAAATTAAGATTACTTAAAGTAATGGATTCTCTATTGATTAAAAAACTCAAAGGAAATGAAACTTTATTCCTCCCCCAGGACCCAAATCATTCTAAGAATTCACCTCCTACACATGAGCACTGTCTGGTATTTAATCTCCAGATCTCTTTAAAAAAAAAAACTGTGTCAGTGCAGCAGACAACCTGAAAAGAAAGCTCAAAGGCCTTTTGAAAACAAACTCTCTGAAATTAGAGATATTCTCTACAGGTACATTAATGAAATATAACTGTAATTAATAAAGTAGAAAAATCATTCATCATGTTACAGTTTTGTGCTACAAATTTGTGTGAATGGGTTAGGTGATATCTAATATAAACTTTAAAATCAAAATCTGCACAGAAAGCTTGAGAAAAATGTTATTAAAGGAATTTTAAATTTAAATTATTTGTTCAGACTTCAATTACTGTAATTCAAGCAATTTAAGTTACATATGGAAGGTTCGCCATGTTTCTCTCCTTCATAGAAGACTCTTTCTTCTTTTCCCCCAATATTTATTTCTTAGTGCAGAAGTCTGAGGTTCCAATCTGAATGTGACCAAGTCTTTCCCACATTTAGCTCCTCTTATCTAGACACCTTTAATAAATGTTAATAGTTGAAGAGGGGAAGTGATGGTAGAAAGAGTTCTAGTGTAAATCAAACAGCAAGAACTAATCTGTCACTGCTCTCTATATCTAGAGGTAAGTTTTTCTAGTGTCTCCGCACTTGCTTCGGTCTGAGCATTCCAAGTATGTCTAGGCTAAGATGAAACTTAATCTGTGTGTATGCTACGCTTGCTGACTCTCTGACATCCATGATTCTGCCTATCTACCTTACAATGCTTACCTTTTTTTCTATCTCAGGTGGATTCCCCGACTTTGACACTTACAATAATTGCACATAAATTGAGATCATTTTGGTCCCCATAGACGTTCATTACAGAGACAGATATTATGGAAGGAATAACTTCCTAAAGGAAAGATCTTTTCATGGCCCTATTTTCCTCCTACTCTTTGTAGCTGAACATGACAACATAACTGTGGCATTTAGGTGATATTAATTTTAGTAATAAAACTTGACTCTCAGGACTGGGTTCAAAGTATATACTGCCTGCTCAAGTCATGTTAATTTAAAAAATATATGTTAACTTTGCAGTGAACTTCCCCTTCAGTTCTCAAAATAAAAGGTAGTTTTTCTCAGAAGGAGAACCATAAATTCACCCTACATGATAAAGGAATAAACCATAGATTATCTTGGTTAAGTATTCCAGGAAGGAATGCAAAGAGTTAGAGGCAGCAGTGCACACAGCTTGTCTGAAAAGCAGCAAGAAAGACAGTGTGGTTGGAATAGAGTATTAGAAAAAGTCACACAAGAGTAGGAGGAGGAAGAGAAGGAAGATCATGTAGGGCCTTTTAGGTTAATGCAGTAATTCTGGCTTTTCTTTGAGTGAAACAGGAAATGTTGGAGGCATTAGCTTATATTTTAGCAGGATCATGCTTGCTGCTATATTGAGAATACACTTAAGGGAGTAGAAGGCAAACATGTAACTAGTTTGGAAGTTATTGCAACAATACATGAAGGACATAATGGCACAGACTACACTCTTAGTCTCAAATTCAGGTTATATTTTGAAATAAACTAAGAAGATTGCTAACAGATTGACTGTGGGATAGAAGAGAAAGAAAGCAAGAATTTCTCCCAAGTTTAACTGTATCCGTTGGAAGAACTGGGTTGTCATGCATTGTGATGGGAATGATTACAAAATGAGCAGATAAGGAGATACTATCAGGAATTCTGTTCTGGACATTGTAATTTGGAGAGCTGTACTCCTCTTCCCCACTGGGCTTAAACCCTATCTGAATCTTAGCCAAGACCAAGCCCTTCAATTGGGAACCAGATCCTGATTCCCAATCTATAGCTATTAGCTAAGATTCTACTTAGAACACAGATAAGACCACTGGGAACCAAGATTGTGCCAAAAAAAACCACAAGATTTAGGCCATTGTCAGAACCCAGGGTCCTATCGCAGCATCCCATATCCAGACTTCATTCCCTTCAATACTGATTTTGGCTTGATTTCCTGGACTCTGGTACTCACTGTACTCACTCTGATTGCCACTGCAACTCAACAATTGGGAGAGTTCCCTTATTTCCTCCCAGTTCTACCCTCCTCCCCAAGTCTTACTGCTACATATATTCCATCTATGACATTCTGTCTACACTGGAAATCAGGGAAGAGTTTGACCATGTGTCCAGGAAAAGCATAGCATATATTATTGACTCTAAACCGCCTTTTTGAAATTTATATGGTTTACATAAGCGTTTTAAAAGAATGTTGAGAAAGAGGGAAAAAAGACTAAATAAATTGTCAAGTGGTTTTCCTAATCATATTTATTTCCACTGGGTTATTTGTTTGACTTTCTAATCTTAACATGACAGCACAGTTTAGAATGCAAAGGTTGCCCTGTGCTGCAGACTGTCCATCAAATGATTTCAACATTATTTATCTTGTCAAATGAAACCCAAAATGATTTAGGAGTCTGATCCATGAAGGATTACACAATTGGATGTCCATTAATCTCAGAACACCCTGAGAATTGCTCAGGGTCCTTTATTCACTGGTTTATTTCCAAACCCAGTATTGCCACGTTTGAAAAAAAAAAAAAGTGGCACGTTTGATAGTATATTGATACTAAAAATATATTTAGGGGCTGGGGATTTAGCTCAGCGGCACAGCGCCTGCCTGCCAAGCGCGAGGTCGTGAGTTCGATTCCTGGTACCGGAAAACAAACAAATATATATATACATATTATATATATATATATATATATCTGGTTTGAGAATTTACATACAAAGAAGTGTTTTATACTGGGGAGGAGTGAGAATATTAAACAGAAGCCTCAAAGCCTACTGCAAGGATCAATTAAAAATTAGCTGGCTAACGACAGATCCAGCTGCTATATTGGCCACCCTCAAAGTCTCCGGTTTTCATTAATTTTTGAATCATGTTTATTCAAGAATCCCCATTTAGTTTCTGAACAATCTCGGAAATAGCTTAAGAGGTGTGAGTTACCATTCCATTATGCTGTGCTGGTGTTTTAGAGACATTTAGTTTTTACGCAGAAAAATCTTTCATTCACTCATTTCATCAAAGAACACCTGCATCTCCCTTTCTATCACTGACAAATTTGAATTGCTTTAAGAATCTTTGAAATAGGATGTCGTTACGATGGAATTTCCATGAAACAATTCTGTAACACCTGGGCCAAAATGCTTTGCTCATTTTGTAAGAAATTTCTAAAGTTTAATGTCACTTCCTGCAGCTCTAGAAAAAAGCTGATATACAGTCCCTACCCCAAAAGCACTATTCCAACCACATTTTTCACCAGTTCTTTTTGCAAAGTACTTTTCTTAGTGATCTAAACGTATGAAAACGACAACTAGCCGTTAAACAGCCCAGAGCTGTGAAGATAAAACAGACTTGGAATTCACCAGAGCTTCACACTACTACTTCTTCGCATGAGAACCAAGGGTCACATAGCCAGATGTGTATTTCACCTCTAGAAACTGCTAAACGCCCCCGCACTGTAACATCCTACTCCAAGGCACAGTAAAGACCAGAGTGTTGAACAAGCCTAGCGGACTTTCCCCCGCCTGTCACCGCCAGCTTCCCGCCGGATTCAGGAAAGAGGGGCGGGGTAGGTAGGGGCTGGGGGAGGAGCGGAGACTACAATTCCGGGGGGGGCGGAGACTACAATTCCCAGCAGGCATCGCAGCAACGTCTTCGCGCACGCGCATCCTAGACTCTGGGAAAGAAGCAGTTTTGAGGGGCTTCTGGGAGAGAAACATGGCGACGCCTAGTGCGAGACTTGCTGCGAGAAGGTTCTTTGAGATGTCAGTGGCGCCGGGCCGCCTAAATCGAACTTATAGCACCTCCCACAGCTTTGCTAAAGTGCTACGGCTGCCGAAGAGACAGCTGATGAAGCTAGTGTACCCACTGCAGGAACTGGAAGTGTACCTCGACCCGGACTCGAGGGCTGATTTGCACCTAAGGATTTTCGACCCTAGCCTGGAAGAGATCGCGAGGGCGGAGAACGTCTTCGCTGCCGCTCCGAAGAACCGCATCGAGTACCTCAGCTCTGCGGTCCACCTCAGCCACGCCCCGGGCTCCTCTCGGCCGGAAGTGAGAGCTGCGAGTGCTGCTCGTTCCCCGCTAGCGGAGTGGTGGGGTGCGGGTCGGGGCTCGGGGTTTTGCTGTCACTTGCTGTCCTTCTTGTCACCCCACAAGGGATAGTTTCGAGCTTGGTGTGCACGCATATATGATTTTAGATAAGCATACATGCGGTTTTAATTATTATGATAATATGGAAAGCTTTCAAACCTGAACAATGCGTTCGAAAAGCTAATTCTGACCTTTTTCCTATTTGAACTCGGGAAATATGCAGAGACAAACTAGGTAGAGAAGAATAGGAAATAGAAGAGTTTCGTGAATGGGACGACACTTCTTCATTTGTAATTTTCACCCAGTCCAGATTGCCTTCTGTGCACAAGTAATACCAACTTACAGGTGGCAATAATCTGGAAGATTTCAACGACTTGTATCCGTGAAATTCCTTGGTTGCATAGTAGGCATGTTCTACAAATGCCTAATGCAGTGCTTGTTCTGGGTCTGCTGAAGGCGGCTGCAAGAGCTTGGCTCTTGTAAGTGCACCGTTGCCTCGCGGTTTTTTGTAGTATCACGGACTGTTTTATTTATATATCGACATTGGATCTAATCTAGGAAGACCATTTGAAATCTGTGCAGGACTCGTATCAATTTATCTGGAGGGACTAGGCAAAGTTTCACAAAATGCATAGCATCCCTGGTCCCTTCCCACTAACTGTCCAGCAGATGTACTGATGACCAAAATACCTTTGCAGATTTCCAGAATGCCCCTCCCTGAGCCGTTCTGACCTCATCAGAACAACTGGCTGGAGTTGTTATCCCTTCAGTACAGGACTTTATTAAAAAGCAGACCCTTGTGTGGTAATTATGGAGAACATTTTGTTGCCACAATACAGATGAGAAATGCTTAACTGGAAAAAGAGGTCCAGGGAAAAACCACCTCTTAAATTGCACTGTTACTACAAAGTACCATGAGAGTGCTTGAGAAAACGTGCTTCTAAACATGTTTGTACTTATTGAAGTAACGTTATTTTTTTTAATTCAAAAAGCTTTATAAATATGGAATGCTTAATAAAATTTACAGGTATTCTTGAGTAGCATAGTGTCATTAAAAGTAAGGGCTATGGATATAAATGTCCGAGATAAATGTATAAATGTAAATTCAAATCCCTGTATCTCTACTTTCTATTTGTATAATTTTGGACTAGTTGGTTTTTTTACATCTGTAAAAATGACAATAATGTTACCCACCTTATAGGGATGTGCTTTGAAAAAAACAGCAAATAATGTTATACTTGCCATTTTGAAATCATTTAAGTATTAGCTGTGTGTTACGGTTTTAGTTTGACTAGCCATAAGCCAGTTTTTATATAGCTTGGTGACATAGTAATGCAAGTGCAGCATTAAATAACTAAGTATTCCAATTTCTTCGTGCTCATTTCTCTTCTTTTTTCTTCTACAAGGTGTGTTTTATAGGCAGAAGCAATGTTGGAAAGTCCTCACTAATAAAGGCTTTATTTTCACTAGCCCCAGAAGTTGAAATCAGAATCTCCAAAACACCGGTATGTTGAAATTTTTGAACAGTGCAGATGTCTGGAATATCTCTTGAATTGACTAAAATGAGTAATAAATACTGGAGAGTGCAAGAAATCGTAATTGCGAAGTACCTAGAGAAGGGACTTCTTTTAAATAGGTAATAAAGACGTTTCATTCATGCCTGTGTATTTCTCTGAGGGGAGAAAAGGAAGTATGGCTAGATTTATTTTAGTACTCTTGCCTTTTCCAAAAAAGCTCTTTGTCCAAATCTTCCAAAGAGTTACCAAAATAAACTGTTTTATTGTCATTCTGTATTTCTTTCTATAAGAGTGCTCATCTAGTTCCACACTGATTTTAAGGAAAACAGCTTTAAAGATTTTTACTTTAGTTTTCCTATTATCTTTTATACCTTGCCAACTTATATACCCACACACATTCTTACACATAAAACAGTCAAGCATATTTTGTTTACCCGTGCCAAATTATGTGCTTGGTATCCCAGCCATACATTGGTGCACTAACTTTTTGTGCAGATTCTACCATGTAATGTCTAGGATAAGCTTTCTTCAAAATTCACTCCCACTTGCCTTTACCTTAATATCTATAAATAGCAAAGCCTTTCACCAACTCAAACACTCTCTACCCCCAACCCCTTTCATTGAGTTGGAACCCTTCCATGACTTCACTAGTCTTTTCCTACTTTTTCATGTAGTTGATTCTCTGGCATTATCACTAATCATTCTTCGCATCGCCTAACCCTTCATTTCTCCCCTGACTCACCTACTAAACCAGCTAATTACTACTTCTAGGCAGGGTGAATCCCTTTCCTACGTAAGAGGACAGCAGTTGAAATTTATTCTTGACATTCCTAATCTGTAAATTTACAATTCCCGATCTCTAATTCTAAAGTAATTTTCTAATAAATGAATAATAAGCTGACTGGGAACTTAGCCACCATTTATAAAAATCTTTTCTCTGATAATATTTATTTTAAGATTCAAACAACTGACTTTTTTTTTTTTTTTTTTTGGTTTTTTTTCCGGTACTGGGAATCGAACTCACGACCTTGCGCTTGCCAGGCAGGCGTTGTGCCGCTGAGCTAAATCCCCAGCCCCCAAACAATTGACTTAAAATTCTCATTCTGATGAATAAATGTCCCATGACCACAAAAGCATGTCAACCACATTTTATGTCAATTTTAGTTATGCAGATATTTTATAATTATAAAATTGTAGATGCTTTTTAAGAATTATTTAATGAGAACACTAAAAGCCACATAAACCATACAAAACATCCTTATTTTAGAGAAGCAATAATCTAGGTATAAGCAGCTCACTTTGGAACTAGGTATTACAGAAATCTCTATGACTAATGGTAAGCATTTTAATTCATCAGTGCCATAATTCATTTCTCTTTACAGGAGAGATAAATCGTTCATTAGAGAATATTAACTAGCGATAGTCATGCATTTTAGAACAGGGTGACTTTATGGAGCATGAAACAGTATAGAGTCTAAAATATTTTTTCTATATATTTCTAATATGAAATCTAGAGTACTAGGAACTCTATTTTTGAGAAAGGTGAATTGGACGGAAAAAGTTGTATGATCTCAGCTTATCTCCAGCCTTTTCCTTCTGTCTTCCTGTATCTTGATCAAAATAGCTAGGATTATATAGTGAGTCTTTTAATAAATACTTGTTGATTCACTAGAAAACATTGCAAATCATGAAATGTTGAAAGGATGTATTATAAGTCAGCTTTTTTTTTTTTTTACTTTATCAGGGGCACACAAAGAAAATGAATTTTTTCAAAGTTGGAAAATATTTCGTATTGGTGGACATGCCAGGTTACGGCTATAGAGCACCTGAAGATTTTGTTGACATGGTAGAGACCTATCTAAAAGAACGAAGGAAGTAAGGAGAAACTTTATTATAATTACATATTTAGTACCACAGCACATTTTCATCAATAGAGTATCCCACATGTGGTGAACACTTCAGTTTTACCACGTAACTTAATTTAGGTTTATTTTACTCTTATAGTATTCTACAATAAAGTACTTAGGAACAAGGTATGATACACTGTTTTTTGGTTTCCACCTGTGAGTCTGATTTTAACTTAAAGGGTTTTCCTAAATTGAAAATGTAAGATGTATACAATCTGAAGAGAAAACAGCAGAGTTAGTTTGTTAATTTTAAGCAAACTCTTAGCTGGATAATTTTGAAAATGAAAATTGTTGGTTAATATGATAATCACTAGATTTAAATAAACTTCAGCAAATTGTGATCATTCTTGAAATATCCCAGTCATCACATCCTCTAAAAATATCTTTATATTTTTGTCTCCCTATGTAGTCAAGTGACATAGGTACAGTTCTACTTTAGGAATTGCACAACATAGAAAAAAATGTTAAAAGTGTTTATGTAAGTATCTTGTGTTTGTAGTTTTACATAGAAACTGAGACAAAATATTTGCAAAAGATGCAAAATACAAAGTGTGTGGTTCCTGTTATGTTAGTCTTAAAGTAATATTTAAAAAGTTAAACATTTGTGATAACGTAAATTAGATTTTAAGTTCTTAGAGAAAGGCATTCAGTCATCTTTACATGAAGTTTAAACTGACAATTATTTAAAGGAAAATTTCTTAATATAGTCAATATTGGTGGGAAGAGCGAGTATAACTTACATTGCTAGTAATCTTTTTTTCTACATTTTATAGTTTGAAGAGAACATTTTTACTAGTGGATAGTGTTGTTGGAATTACAGAAAAAGACAAAATTGCCATAGAAATGTGTGAAGAATTTGCATTACCATATGTGGTAAGTGTTTCTTTTGACTCTTGGTTGCAGTTAGAATACCAGTTCTTTGTGCTTACGAATATGTGCACACATTTTTTAATGAATGGGCAAGTTTTGGTTCTTCAAAAGATAAAGAAAACTATCTTTAAGTTCTGTGGCACTTTCATTTTCTTCTCTGTTTTCAAAATTATAGCCAAAGTTTTTTAAGCTGTTTAGTGTTAAGTACTTTTCATTTCTATGTTTAATGAAAATATAAACATTAATTTAATGGAAATGCAAACATTTGTCCAAAACATGGTAGTAGCTGTTTAATAGCAGTTTATTTGGTACTGGGAATCGAACTCAGGACTTTGCACTTGCCAGGCAGGCGCTTGTGCTGCTGAGCTATATCCCTGACCCTTAATAGCAGTTTAAAAGATAGTATTTATCATAATGTAAATAAAACTGCAACTAAAAATTTTGTTGCTTACGTGGAATTTAAAGATTCTTCGAAGAATCTAAGGCACTAAGAAAAAAGAACAGGATTCTTATATTTATAGAGAGACAGAATTTCTTCTGGAAATACCTTATTAGTGTTCTTTTGTCATGTGACCTAGAAAAAATACATATTAGTATGTATTACTAGGTTGGTATCCACATTAATTTTGCTTTGTAATACTTCCAGATAAAATAGCACTCTTTTTAAAGAAAAGACTTCAGGGCTTTAGTTTGCAAAAAGTTTTTTAAAAGCACCAAAATATAACAGAGTTTAGTGTAATCAAACCACGCCACTAATTTTTCTTTTACTTTTTCTTTTTATTGTTGAGCATTTTAATTTTTATTAATACACATTTGCAGTACTTAATGATTATGTTCCTGGTGGGGAGCTGGTACATGTACATATCACATCCTAATTCTTTCTATGTTCTTGTCCCCTCCCTCCATCTCTTGGTCTCCTTCCCATGTGCAAAAAGATCTATCTCCCCTTAGCTTTTTTTTTTTTTTTAATTTTTGAGACAGGGTCTCACCATGCAGTTCAGGCCGGGCTTGAACTCACTGTGTAGCCCATGCTGGCCTCGAACTCACAGCAGTCCTCCTGCCGCAGCCTCCCGAGTGCTGGGCTTACAGGAGTGTGCCACACACCCATCCTGAACATAAATGTTAAAAAGCAGATCTAACCCAGTCAGATTCATCGTTCTTCCTGCATGTTTGGCCTTACCCTTAACATCTTACATTACTTTCTATTTCCCATTGTCTATTCTTCCTCTCAAATCTTCTGCATTTTTTTCTTTAAAAAAAAAAATCACAATGAAATATAAAATCTCCATTGGCACAGGTTAGTACTTTTGACAAATTCTGCTTTTAAAAGAATTGAGGTTCCCATTTCCATTTCTTTATTGGTTTAGGAGACATTTTATATCAGTTAGGATAGGCTTGGCTATATATATATATATGTATTTTTTTTTTAAGTTATAATTAAAACAAAATCTAAGTAACCTTTTCCAGTGTGTCAGCAAATATGACCTCTCCATTTTAAAGCTTGTATTACCTGACAGTTCTCCCACAGAGGAGGAAATCTGGGGGAGAAAGTCCTATATAGTTACATATTTTTGAGGTTTTGAACTTAAACCAGAAATCACACTGTACCTGTTTACAATTTTCTTCTTTCTCTTAATGGATCAATTCTTTCTGCTTAATGTAGTTCAACCTCATTGATTGATTACTTGATTGCAGTACTGGGGTTGCACTCAGGGCCTCAAACATGCCAAGCAACTGCTCTACCACTAAACCACATCCCCAGCCCTTACAAAAGATTTTTTTTTAAAGTTTTGAAGCAGGGTCTACTGAGTTGGCCAGGTTAGACTTGAATTTGTGATATTCCTTCCTCGGCCTTCTGAATAGCTGTGATTACAGGTGTGTACAACCACACATGGCTGCTACCTCATTTATTATAAATGTTACTATATGTGGTAAAATACACATAGAATTTCTGTCTGAACCATTTTAAAGCATACAGTTCAGCAACTTCAAGTGCAGTCATATTACTATGCAGCCAATTCTCCAGAACTCTTATCATGTAAAACTGAAACCTAGGTCCTTTAAACACTTCCAGTTGTCCCTTCTTCCACCCCCTGGCAACCACCTTTCTACTTTCTCAGTGCGATACACTTGATCACTTTACCTGCCTCTTGTAAGTGAAACCATACATTAATCTCTGATCAAGGCCAGCCTGGGCTTCGTAGTGAGCTCAAGACCAGTCAGACCCTATCCCAAACAAAAAAGTATCATGAATTTTTAATTGATTACATGTTGAGATAATATTTTAGATAAATTGGATTAAGTAAAACCTGTTGTTAACCTGTTTTTCTTTTACTTTTTAAACTGTGGTTACTAGGAAAAAAAAATGTTTGCTTTGGTTTGGTTTTTGAGACAGGGTCTTGCCATGTAGTTTAGGCCAGCCCTGAATTTACCATGCAGCTCAGGCTGGCCTTGAACTTCTGGTGATCTTCCTGCCTCAGCCTGCTGAGTGCCAGGACCATAAGCACGTACCACCATGCTTGGCTGAAAGTTTTAAATTTAACGTGGTTCTGTGAGATAGTGCTGTGCTAAGACCCTGGTAAGAACTAAAAAAACTAAGAATAAATAAACTCTGGCATCAGAGAGTTCACAACTTAGTTGGAGAAGAACAGAACTTAGGACAAGTTACAACACTATGGCATTAAGCGCACTGATAAAGATATATATTGAGGTGTATAGGCTGAGGACCATTTGTGGACCTAGATAGAAAGGAGAGGTGAAGGGAACTGTTGGTTCCTCTGTTCACAAATAACTTCCTGCTTTTGCTGGCAGAGTGGCACATGCCTCCAGTCTCCTCTTGGGAGGCTGAGGCAGAAGGACTCTGAATTGAAGGCCCGGCTAGGCTACATAGCAAGCCCCAGGCTGGCATGGCCTACATAGTGAGACCCTGTCTCAAAACACCAAAAAATTACATGGAAAAGTTTTTTTAAATCCTGCTTTTGATTCTTGTGAGTACCCGGAAGTATCATTGCTAGAGCACACAACAATTTCATTTTTCAGGAACTGGCATACTGTTTTCTGTAGTATAGTAGCTGTTCCATACATCTTACACTCCTAACAGTGCGCAAGGGTTCAAATTTGTACACATCCTTGTCATCTTTTTTATTGCAGCCATCCTAAGGGGAGTGAGACGATATCTCATTATGATCTCTTCCCCGCACTCATCCCACTCGCCTTCCTCATTCTTGAGACAGGTTATCTAGCCCAGGCTAGCCGTAAACTCTTGATCATCCTGCCTGGGCTTCCTTTAGCGTCCAGAAGAGGGATGGTGATTGTGATTGTGGTTTGCATTTCCCTAATGATTAGTGATGGTTAGCATCTATTCATCTGCCTTTTGGCTATTTGAATATTTTCCTTGAAGAAATGTCTTAAATCCTCTGTCCCTTTTTAAAGGTATTTCATTCTTTTTAAATGGTAGCAAGCCACTTTTTATCACTGGAAATAATGAAATTCTTGGAGTTTGCAAAAAAGTCCTTTGAGCCGAGAGTGGTGGTGCATGCCTGTAATCCCAGCACTCAAGAGGCTGAGGCAGAAGGATCACTGCAAGTTTGAGACCAGCCTGGGCTACAAAGTGAGCTCAAGGCCAGCCTGAACTGCATGGCAAGACCCTGTCTCAAAAAGACAAAAAAAAAAGCCCTTTGAAACATTAGGAATAACTTATCAGCCATGAAAGGATTGATAATCTATATAACGAAAGTATCTAAATATTGTCAAACTGCTTTTATTAAATAATAGTGCTCCTGATGTAGCATAGGGACCAGGAATCATACATTCCTGTTTTAACTTAAGGAAAAATAATTACTTCTTCCATGGATTGGGACAGAGTAATTGTATCCTAGATTTAATCCCAGCACTACACGCACGTGCACAGGCCCACCACAGGCACACATGCGTGCCCCTATTAAAAGAAAGATACTAAATTTTGGGCTGGGGATGTAGTTCAGTGATAGGTGGAGCACTTGTCTAGCAAGGCTCCGGGTGCAAGCCTCAACACATACAAAAAAGGAAAAAGGAGATAAATATCCATGTATCTCTCAGCACACTGGCCTTTATGAGGAAAGACTCCCATTTGAGGTGATTCACAAACTGTGAGAAACTACGTACTTTCTGCTTTCCATTCCTGCCATTAGCATTTCTTATGACTAAAAGTATAAGTGATTCATTACGAAGTTTAATTTTATAGCCAGGGAAACCTGATAGACTGAAGTTTTACTTTTGACTTTGTAATCACCATGCCTTGGCCTTTCTAGTATGTATTTGTATTTGGACAAGTAAAATTCTAGATTTACTGGAATATTAACTATGAGAGATAACCTGCAAAGCACCCAGCTTCTAATTTTTCCTTTCAAAGTATTCTAAGTCTGAACCATCAAAATGTTTACATGTCACTAGTTTTATGTGGACCAACTTAACAATACTAATTTCTGTATAGAGCACATGACGTATTGTAATCATATGAAACAGCTGATGGCAATTACAAATACGGCCGAAGGGTCCTTCTTATTCATCGTAAGTCTAAGACGTTACAGCCTTGTGTGGTTAAAGTACTGTTAAATACCAGACACATAGTGTACACTTTATTATACACAGGAAGTCGTTTACTATTCAGAGTAGCTCCTTTATGGACTGTTTTTACTTTATAGATGAGGAACTAGATTCAGAGAGATTAAAATGCACATTTTAAAATTCTGTCTTAAAGTTTAAATTCTGCTTAAAATTCTGTTTTCTTATAGATGGTATTAACAAAAATTGATAAATCTTCCAAAGGACATCTTTTAAAACAAATACTTCAGATCCAAAAATTTGTTAACACAAAAACACAAGGATGTTTTCCTCAGTTGTTTCCTGTAAGGTAAGACTTGAATTGTTAAAACAATTCTATGTATTACAAGCCTTTAATATTAAATCAATGTTTCTGAAGTCCAGGTATCACTTAAAATTTGGACGGCTACGCACTAGCCTTGATTTGTTGGTATAATCCATTAGTACTTCTAATTTTTTCTTCCTTCTATTCTTTGTATCTTTCTAGTGTTCCTCTTCTCTGCATACTTCATTTTTTCTGTCTCAGCCTACCTCAGTCCTAGACCAATGCACAAATAAAAACTTTAAAATAACTACTTTTAATTCCAAAGAAAAACAACTTACCTGTGTGGTATAAAGTTCATTTGGGCTATGAGAGGTTTTTTTTAATTTCTTTTTAAAGGATCTTATAGGAAGAAAAAATGTTTTAAGTTCAGATTAAACAATGGTAGCAGATAGAATGGGTTTTTCCTGAGCTGGTAATTTTTGAGATATTATGATCAGGTTTTAGAACAAAATATAGGTATGTACTTTCACTGTATATCTTGGGCACACTAATAATGTATACTGTAGCAGAGGTACTCCTCTGATTTCTTCACTCAGAGTTTTCTGTGGAGGGCATGATGCTAGTTACTATAAGGAGAGTAAAAAAATTAGCCAATACTTTCTTGTATATAAAACTGTTCCCTAAACAATCATTTTAGGTCCTGCCAATCTATATCACACTTAAATTGTAATTATGAATATGCCTATTGGAGTCCCTCTTTATTCCTACAAAACACTCTTCTTCTTTGACTTACTTTCAGGTATCAATCCTGTTCATTTGTCTTTGTCCCACATATACAACTGCTAGAGGTGGGAGTAAAATTCTAATTCTTAGGTCCCTAAGTATTATCATATAAAAACAATTATTTAATAGTTTTTAATAGAATCATATAAAAGCTATTTCTTTTAACTATTTAATAAAGAGGAAGCATGAGACTTCAGCTAAAAAGGTAACACATATAGTAGCAAGCTATGGCTAAACAGCAGCATTTGTTGCAAAATTGTAAGTTTTAGTTGACCATCTGTTGACTTTGAATGAACAGTATAACATGGCTGGGAAAGACTTTTCTTAGGCTGTGTCAGTGGAAATAAGGTGTTCGTGAACAGGAAATGATAAAGCAGTGGTCCCACACTACTACATAGCTAGAGCTATCTAAAAAAACATAGTCTTTGGAAAGGCTATAGCACTAGAGCATTCAAAACACTTAATTGATCTTCAGGATAAACGTGTTCATAGGTTAAGGTTACAAGTTGGAGAAATTGAGTTGCAGCGAGGTGTTTGCTGAAATAGAAATAGCAGTGAGTTAGCCATGGTTTTCATACTAGCTTCTCTACTTCCTGGCTATCAATTTAAAGTAAGTTATTGTATTTTTCCGGAGTGTCTTCTCGCTGGAAAAATGTGATCACCAGAAGGATTACAGAAAATGTATTGTGACTGGTAATGTACACATTAGGCACAAAATGTTAATTTCCTTCCTTTCCACTGGTCAGTGTCAGTAGATGGAGGGTCTGACCTATGACCCAGGTTATCAGTTAGCTGGGTGTTTTTAGGGGCATTTCCTTTTTTGGATATGCCAGCTTTCTATGTTCATGGCCCTGGAGTCACTGCTGTCACCGTATTCACCACTCGTGACCAAGGCACTGCAGGCCACATAGCATTAAAAAAAATCTAAGAACTGAAATGGGAAGCATACTTGCATTCAAGTGCTTCAACATTCTTTATAACACAGTCAATATACAGAAATATACAGTAGCTCTTAACACTCCATGCAGAAAACAGTAGTGTATATTTCTTGTTGTTACTTGCATGACCAGATCCTAGGCCAGTGGTGGTGAACCTATGGTAAGCATGCTGTAGTGGGCTGTTATTCTCATTGAAAGTTCTAAAAGATTCGCTGTCACTACCAAGCCAGCCCTCCTGAAGTCTGACCTATTCACAAATGGTTACTATAAATTGTGTCTCCTCTTCCTGTATGCTCAGGGTAGGAGAGAGGTAAAGTTTGTTTTCAAGTCTATAGGCAGAAGTGTTGATTTTCATGCCTGAACTCTGGTCCAGCAGGTTACAAAAATACAAATGATGAAGAGCCCCTAAGGACTGATGCTGGGATCAGTCTATTTTATAAATGATATGTAAGAGAGAGCATAGTATAATATCTTCCGTGGTTTTTATTTTAGTAGACTTCCAAGAGGACAAGGACAGAGAAAACTCTGAGCTGACAGAAATGTTGCACAGATTCCTAGTGCCACACTTGGTGTGTGAACCATCCAACTTGCACCTCTCCTTTAAGTTTTGTAACTTCAGTTATAAGCATCATTACTGGCTATTCTTTTTTGTTTTGAATTTATTTTTGCTTTGGCCAGAAAAGTTTAAAATACTATACTTTATGAAGAAGGGAATTAGCAACACAACAGGAGATATTTTACCTTATCTAAAGCTATAGCATATTCATGCTTGAGAGACCACATGGTCAAACTCCGGATGGATGGATGGATGGGCGGGCGGACGGGCCGGCGGACGAGCGGGCGGGCAGGCCGACGGGCGGACGGAGAGGTGGGTGGGTGGGTGGATGAGTGGACAGCCAGATATAAGATACATGGATAAGTAAATCACAGCAGTGACTTTGATTTTTTTTAAAAAGTCTGAAAAATGTACTAAATTATCAAAGTGATTGAATTTTTATCACAAGAATAAACTGAAGACATCAAGACTTAATCCAGGAAAAAGAAAGTAAAAGATGAGGTAAATTTTTAGAATCATGAAGAAAATGAATCAGGTATCATGAATCACTGGATTTTAAAATATTACAACAGGTTTGGGGAAGAAAGGAAAGTAGAACAAAATACAATATTCTGCTTCATACATGGAATCATAAGAGTTTGCAAATAACTTTAAGGTAGATGAATTCAAATCTGCTACTATGTTTTTTTCTTTTTCCATAGCGCTCTGACCTATTCCGGAATCGATCTGTTGAAATGCTTTATAGTAAATATAACAGCAAATCTTAACGGCTCCAACTTTAGATGAAGTTTCAAAATTCTTTTCACCAACTGGAGTTAAATACCTAGAAGAATTTTAGTAGTATTTTAAATGCTGTGTTTCTAAAATTTGCACAGGGATCACTAGAGCTTTAAGACCTGCATCTTCCCAAAGCACGATGAATTTGTGCCTGGGAAGGGGGTGTAAGTAACTGAATTATGCTGTTCATTGTAACAGATACTAGTTGGCTTTCCTGTTTTAATAAACTGACAAGAGCACACAAAAAGAAAACAAAACCTATTACTACTATGTAGAGAAAGGTTTGCCGTTTTATTTATTGGGCTTTTAACTTGAAAATGTCTATCATTTTTTTTTTAATATTAAAAAGGACAAGTAAAAAGCTGTTTCTCTGTTAAACAGATAGGTAAGTTGAAGAATAAAAGCTCGTATGTATGCCTGTAATTAATCTTTTTGAGTCCTTATTTGACTATTAAAAGAATTATTCTTGATAAAATGTTGGTTTGTGAATCAACAAATTGGTTATGTGTTGGAGGTGCCATTCATTTCACACTGGAATCGTTCACCTTCAGGTGAACGCTGGATTTGGATCAGGGAGAGCAGAAGTAGGAAGACCAAGTTTTAAAAAACAGGTCATATATACTGCTGTTTTAAATAAACTGAGCACCTAATACTAGGTTTATCCTTAATCCAAGCTGCTTGAGACCGGAAGTGTTTCAAATTTTGGAATGAGTATCAGCCTAGGCTTTACTGATTAAGCATCCCAGATCAACTCTGAAATCAGAAATGTTCCAAAATCTGTAACTTCTTGAACAGTTTGTGCTCAAAAGTTTCAGATTTTAGATTTGGAGATTAAGAACTGCTGAAAACAGGATGTCTGACAAGGCTTCAGGAGAGAAGCTAAACCACTTTTCGTGCTAACTCTGGATTTTGAGCCACTTGCATCAAAATCACCTGGACTCCTGTTAAAACAGACATGCAGAACTTCAGTCCCATCCTCTAGTCCTCTATTTCTCTGGGGAGAGACTAGGAATCTGTTTTTAAACAACTGACCAGGTGACTCTGTACCAGTTCAAGAACCACTGGGATAGGTAAGAAAATACAAAAAGCAAGCAGAAAGGGCAACGGCTTATAAAGATTACCAAAGAAAAGGAGGATGCATTATATACTACAGTACTGTTTTCTCTAAGTCTGTAACAACATAAAATTTAAGACAATTATTATGGAAGCTTATTTACATAATTCTACTTAAGCTTAAACATTTAAAATATTCTTCAGACTTCACATCATCATTTGAAAACACATTCAATGTCCTCCGGACATAAAGTGAACAAATTAAGAGAAAGTGGTTATAACCAGTCTCTGGTAATATAATTACCACAGCAAAACTTGAGTTCTTCTGATGATAGCACCATCGGAAGCTACAAACACTGGTGTTCCCAAGTGGACCTTCCTGATGGTGCTGATGAAGCTAAAGCCACCCTCTGGGAGTCTCCTTGCTACTCCCTCACCTCACTCCCTGTTTAAGGCACAGAAGCTTTTGGCAAACTCATTTATTACATCTTAATTCGCTGATAAATTATAAAATTATTAATTTTTCAGGGACCTACCAGTCTCAGTTAAGGAATTCCATCTACTTCCAAAGACATTCTGCAACACTATATCTCAGCACCTGGCACACAGTCAAAGCCAAATAAGTATTTGGTGATGAAATGATACCAAGCTACTACAAATGCTTCCTGAACTGACATGAACTCTTATGGGATGTTGCATGGAAGCAGCTCCTCTCTGAGCCTAAGCAGTAGTATTTCAAGATCTCAGCAGCTGCACTTAAAACAGCACAACAATGGGCCAGTTTGTTAACTGCTTAAGTCTCACATGTGCACATCTACACTCCCATTAAAGCAAAAATGTCATCAATGTCATCTGTCTCTTGAACAGGTCCTGGCGTATTTTGTTTGCTTATGTGCATCTTTGTCCATGAATCAGTTTGACTTTCACTGCTTCCTGTAAGACTTCCATGACTCTGATTCTCCTGACTTTGTGTGGCAGGTTTTGCAAGTCTGCTGCTCAGGAGCTGCTTACTATTGGGGCAGTGATCAGTTCTCTGAACTGTGCGGTATGAGAGACTCCTCTTAGTACTGGTGTCCACAGCACTCTTCAGAGGTTCTTGAGGGAACTGCTGAATTTCCTTTAAAAGAGTTGACTGCCACTTTCTCTGTGGTTTCCTTTTTCTTAGTAAAAATTTATTTTGTGATCTTCTTTGCCTCAGATGATGCTTTGAAGTTTTGTTACCTGAGCCATGAAGAAGGCAGTTGCAAACAGATGTTTTTATGCAGTCTAGTTTCTTTGGCAAACTAAAGGACAGAGAGAAAAACCTGAGTTTATTAAAATGCCAAAAAATTCTCCATCACTGTTGTATCTAATTTTTTACCAACTTCCAACAGAAAATAAATTTACTTAAAGGTCCTATGCCTGTGTATAATTCTAGGATCATAACAAAAAATAAGGAAGCAGTTTCAAACTAAATGTGTGTTCTCAGGCCATAACTTTCCCCTGATTCAGGTTGAAGGCAGAAGTGTCCCTATTTCACCCTCAAAGTTAACCAACATCTTAAGTAAGACACCTCCAAACTTTAATACCAATTTTCCCTCACACCAGATAATCTGTTCATAATGTAACAGAAATGGAGAAGTAGAAATGGGGAAACATCACAAACTTTAAAAACATCTAGTATGTAATAATTCATATCTTGATCTGCAGCTTCTAGTGGCAGGAATGAACAAGGAAAGAAAAAAACAGAATGAAGAGGGAGTTTATAAAACAGAAGACAGGGCTTGTGGCACAGACAAACTGACGGCTTTCAGCTACATAGTGTGATTCATATCATGTCATCTTCAAGTGCAGAATATTCAAACCTCAAACAGCTGATTGTTCTCGGTATTTTTTTTCTGAACAGGGTGTACCAGCACACAGTTCACTGGTGCCTTGCTGAAACAGCCTAACTTTGTGAGTGAAATTTTAGAAGATTAATGGAGGTCTATGCTCCTTATCTCACCTCCCTCTCCTTTAAAATAAAAATAAAAATCTGACAAGGCCCATTATAATGTAGCAACACATACTTGGTGTTCCAAACCATTTTCTTGTCTTATTTTAAGCAGTGACCTTTAAGTGGGGAGAAGGTGGGTGTATACGTCTGAGTTGAAATGGAAAGAGAATGAATGAAAACAGAAATCAGAGGACTTGAGTTTTAGATCTCCAATTCAAATACCTTGAGAAGAAAACCACCATCCTCTCATGTATAAAATGGTAATGCTGGGGACTGGGGATTTAGCTCAGTGGCACAGTGCCTGCCTGGGAAGTGAAAGGTTGTGAGTTTGATTCCCAGTACCAGAAAAAAAAAAAAACCAAACAAATAAAAAATAAAAAAAACAAAATGGTAATGCTGCCTATCTCATAGGGTTATTGTAGACATTAAGTACATTGTAGCATGTACTACAAAAAAATATTAGTGTAAGAATACTATATTTGGGGAGGTACAGACTAATGACATCATCAATAAACACAAGTTTTTAGGCTTTCACTGACTTAATTATTATCATCTTTGCCTTATCCACCCTTGAACAAATGCCTAAATTTCCAACCCTAGAGCAGGTTCCTTTTAGATAACTACAGGCCTGTAGAGGATCACAATATAAAAACCCCTCTAGAAATTCATCCCTTAGTTAGGGGCTGAGGATTTAGCTCAGCAGCACAGCACCTGCCTGGCAAGCGCAACGTCGTGAGTTCAATTCCCAGTATGGGGGGTGGGGGGGGCCGGTAGTATTCATCCCTTAGCTATATGCAACAGCTTTTCCTATGACTCTCAGTAAAACTTGTAACAAAGCCTCCATTGTGTGCCAAATTTTTTTCTGAAACAAAAATGTATTTTTCATAATTTTTAAAAATTAAATTTTAGATAGTTATAGTGGTTCATCCACAGGAACCAGGGTAAAGCCATGTCTGTAACTACCAATAAGAGATTATGGTACATATACAGAATATTGTTTGATGGACACATACAAAAGGTGGTACAAGAAATGACTGCCTTTGAAAAGAGGATCTTTGGGG